GTGAACAAGATTGTCACCAGAGAAAAGCAAATTATTGGAAGGTGGTGGACTTTTTTCCATTTTTATGACAGCATACTTTTAAAATATTCCTTAGTATTTAAGGTGGGAATAAAACACTTTGTACATTGGTTCTCTATGCAGATACAACTTCTCTGTCAACTCTTTGCTGAACAATTTGGAGGCTCCTGCAATGTCCTTTTCTCACCACTACTAGCTCTGCCTTAACTTAAGAGTATTAATCTTAAGATTAATTAAGAGTGTTAAACTTAATCTTAATAGTAGTACTTTTAACAACCATTATAGTAAAAATGCATTCAGCCAGCTGCCTGATACTTGGTAGATGGATGATTTCTATCCTATTCTACCCCCCACAAAACCCCCGAAGCAGTTCCATGCATTTTGATGCTTCTCCATGATAGCATATGCTTAAGTCTCAAATCCACTTAAATCAAAACTTATTTTACCATCCTTAAAAGATATATAAACAAGACAGTATCCTGAATTCACCTCTGAAGCTAATTGGCAATATTTTACTCTGAAAGGCTAGATTTGACCAATGCCGTGTGTTTGTACTTTGTACTAGCTGTAGCTTTCATATAAAACTTCCAAGAGTGGTTCCATATAGATTGCATTACTATAGACCTCCAAATGTGAAAGCTGTGCAACAGTGACTAAATCCCTTTATACAAGGACAAGAATAGGGTGATTCAGCCAATGCTGACTAACAGGCAACTACAGCCAGCTATTCCAGGTAATAAGGGATCTCAGAAGCACTTCTGAAAATACTCCGGGGGGGGGAGCATGGAGAGGTTAACTTTACCCACAGCAGGCAAGGGGCAAACTATACTTTGCATACACATTCATATAACAAAGACCCTGTCTCTTTTAAATGCAAAGTAGATGCAGAAGGCAGAGATGTTCAACTGAGTAGCAGTAGCAACAATGCATAGATCAGATATTTGACTGATTGATTACAACTCTATATTTAACTCTGCAAACAAATATCTGAAAACATTCATAGGAAAACCATCTCAGGTTCAAGGATGATCTTAAGTAGAAAAAAATGGTTCTACATATGCAAATAATAATTTACAGCAAATTATTCCATATCTGCTCAAAAATACAAAGGAAAAGACAACAATGTAATTGTGTAGAAGAAATCATCCATACGAATTAGTATGCTTAAGTTAATGTATTTGTCCTAGGTTAATTCAGAGCATTTTATTTAGATTATGCTGCTTCAATATCATTGGTTAGTACTCCAAATTCAAGCAGGTATCATTACTTTGATACTACAGTTCTGAGTAGAAAATTTAATCAGCCAACCATTTCACTACACAGCAGGTATGAAAGAATGTCTTTCAAACATGCATACATTGTCTCGCAAAGCGTCAGGTAATATTAAATTTCAAAAATATTTGAAAACATTTACACTGTAAACTATTTATTAGAAAATTACAATTGTATTTTTCACAACATTAAAAAATTACAAAAGACTACCATTTCTATCAAATTCTGTTACAGGAATATGGATTAAAAATCCAGTTGTATATCAGTAATAAACATGTTACTTGAAGCATGACAATTTTATAAACAGGGCTACACATACATGTTCCAAATCTCTGTCAAATGAAGATATTTATCATAATCAATGGAGATGAAATCACCATCTCTAAGTCCAGTTTAAGATAAAATCAGAATTTAAGATACAAACTAGAAATCCTGTTTATACTATCATTATATACATCACAAAAATTATCATAAGCACATGGCTTCTGCTGCAGCCTTAATATACATGCAGAAGCGAAGTTTATAAATATATGAAGAATATCCTAGACTAAGGGGGGGATCCTCCTAACAGAATCCCATAAATAATTCACTAAAATATACTTCAAAAGACATAATTCAATAATTTCGAAAAACATAGTTCAAACAAACTTCATTTCTGATAACAGAGAAACTAATATTGAATTTGCAACATGGTCAAAATAAAATGCATTTTAGTAAACCAGCACTGCAGCTTAATCCAGATTCTATAGATTGTCTTTACAAGAATTGAAAAATAAGGCAAATTTGTCTTAAAATCAAGTCATCTTAACAGCCATCTGGTCAACTGAAATATTAAAAGGGTATTAGATAAGGATATGAACACTCAGTAAATTCTCATTTGGGACACATTAACCTTGCATGCAATTATATGCATATATTTGGATGTGGTAACCACTGTGGTTTTTTCTTCTTCAAAGCAGCATGCATCATATAGACAATCTAATTAACTCCTTGACAGAAATAAATCTCTCCATTCACAAATACAATGTGCCTAACTTCAACCCTCCACAAAGTATTGTGCATGTAGAGCCCTGGTTGCCATTTAAGTTAATAAGCACAGTGTCCAAGCACAGCACTAACATGTCTGAAGAAGTCATACTGCATTAATTGATCAACTGGGTAAGAACAGAGCAGTCCAGCCTTCCCCAGCCTGGCGTCCTCCAGATCCCCTGGGATCCCAGAATTCCAGCCACAACACTTCCAGAGGGGATTTAGTTGAAAAAGTCTTATTTACTGCATTGTTGTATCTTAAGTAAATAGTATCAAAGGCACTGATTAGCTGTTTTTGACTTAGCTCACTAAGTAAATCATTCAAGTCCTAATAGCAAGTCTGTAATGGAAACCAAGGTACATAATTTAATACATTCTCCTCCTTAGTGAGGTTCTTGGACAACCTGGCAGTTCTCGTTCCTGTGGAATGAGAAACATCAGGCTAAAAAGCAAGTGTTTAAATATATAGTACAGAATCCATGCATTTAAGGACATAGGTTAAATGCAGAACTCATGCAAAGTTCTTTCTTTCAATACGAAGAGGCTCAAATGTTGCACGTTTTTGGACCAAGAGCAAGTCCACATAGGGACTCCACATGGGTACCTACTACTCTCCTGCTTCAAGGGGAAAAGATGCTTGAGGGTTATCCCAAGTAACAAAATAGCTGATAGCATGGTTCCTCATCTTTGAGTTGGGGCCCCTGGCAGCATCATGAGTTTCCTAGAAAGGAGTCCCAATTTTTAAAAAAATTAGCCTGAGATATGGAAGTCCAGCTCAGACTTTTGAGTATTACCAACCCCGAAATGAAATAATCAGTTGCACTAATTAATTTATAATTTTAAGGGGTCATGGTATCCTAAAGTTGGGGAACCACTGGCATACAAGGTAAATGTTAACAACTCTACACACCATTCCTCCTACTGTAACAGCTACCTTCAGAGAGTGGTTTCCTTCCACACACAATTAACACTATTTCATATATCTGCTTGTATTTTGGTAGTGTGATGAAATGTTGAGCAGGAAGCTTTGTAATAAAACAAAGATCCTTTGCTGTTTTTTGAACAGCCTTAGTGACAACTCAGCTTTAAACAATACCACAGTCGGTAGCATTTATTCACTAATTACTGGAACACATGGACCATAGCTGAGTATGTGGAACCAATGCATAGTGTTAGCTTCTAAATGATGGGTCCTAGAAAACCATTCTAGTCTCCAATTCTTGCTCTAGTCTTAGAGATTTTATTTCCTGTTTTGTCCTGCTTCTACCAAGCTTTGGTATTTGCCTAGTGAAGACGACATTCTAGCAAAAGTGCTCAAGCAATTGGTGGACTAATTTTCTTTAGTCACAGATTAGATATCCCCATTCTTTTTTCCATCCATCCCTTTATGGTAAAATCCATCTGAAGTGCCTGGACACGAGTCTATCAGAATCTTATCCAGTAAAAGTGAATCTAAATGTGGGAGTTAAGTGTTGGATTTCCCTCTCCCCCAAGAGGAACTTTCAGTAGTAATGCCCTGAGGTAACAAATGTGGTAGCTGAAAGTAAATATTGCAGAGTAAGGGTGCAGAATATATAATCCAAATTAAAAGGCTACTGAAGATAATCCATAATTTTAGGGCAAGGCAGACAAACACAATTTCTATTCTTTCTGTTTCAGAATTATGTCTACAGCAATACTGTCTTTGAATACACCAAGGAAGGTAGATGGTTTTATATCATGGAAAGTAAAAAGCCAGAGTCACCTTCCTATGTCATATTTTTATGACCACTACAATGTGCTGTTCATGTGTTCTAGAAGGGCCTCTTTGATATCACATTTAAAGGGCCAGCGAAATCTGTATGGGTCATACAGATATATAGTTCATTGTACCTTGACTATGTTGGTCAGGTAAAAGTCTGAAATGGAGGCTCTTTAGCCTAGACTGATAATATAAAAACACCACAGGTTGAAACCATAGGGAAGTGGTCTGAAGGGTACTGCTGATGATCCACTGAGGGTATCTCTATCTTGCATTTCATTCCAAACATTCAAAATATATATATTGAAGGATCACGTATTTATATATGATTATACAAAAATGTGTTTGCCTCTCACAATGGCTGTGGGTACAAAGTATGTAATTAACAGCAGACCATCTACTCTCTTTTAGAATAGTTTTCCATATACGGTAATAACCATCAATGTCAACATGTTTTTTACCAGTAGCTGGGATCAAATGACCTTCAGGATTGGTCTTTGCATCCTGGGAATACACAACAGAAGGCAGACTGGAGAATGCTAGTAAGAAAGGGGGGGGGGAAGAGCTCAAAAGGGCATAAAGCAAATAGAATTAAAAGTCTGCAATCCAGTGAATGCTTCAGAGGAAAGAGACACAATACTTAGAAACAGACTGTAATTTTATAAGAACACGATTCTGTAAAAGCTTTACAGAAACCTCAA